AATTAATTATTAATTATTATAAATTAATTAATTATAAATTAATTATTTAAAAAATTGATTAATTTAAATATTAAGTATAATTTATAGGATATATACTTTCTTTATAATGCCATTACATATTTCTATTAATATAAAAAGTTTCAGAGCTTTTTATTCACTTTACTTTTTTGGGATTTTATGAACTGAAAAATGACAGTTTTCGTGAGAATGACCCATATATATAAAATTAAAGACTTTTCTTTTTAAGAAGAAATTGAATTTTAGTCCAAAACATGCAAAATCTACATATGAAGCTATCATCGCCCTTTATGAAATATGTTTCAAATAATGCGTTTAAACAATTTTCGACAAATGAATGACATGATAAACTACATAACTTATTTACATTTTAATAACAGTTTCTGATGTTTGGCGAGAAAAGCTATATAATACAGAATACAGCTTTCTTTTTCATAAATAATACTTCATCAAATTGTTTCATATTCCTTATCTCATAGAACAGAATGTCTACTAACTTTGAAGTCGAAAATCAAATATGAGAAACACATTCATCACAATGTTTGGTAATTCTTTAGCAACCTTTGAATCTTCTTGGTTCTCTCGATGATTTTCATAACTTTGTCTTCAGCTAGTCATTTTATAAACGAAACTTCACACAACACATTAAAAAAAAATGTCTTGTATGACTTTCTATTATTTTTTAACCGCTTTCCCTGATTATCCCGAGTAAATTCGGGCAGAGCAGAATTCGTCAATACGTTTTGTTTTATCGTGTTTTTATTCGGCCGGGAGCGAAACAAAAAATAACAATAATCTGCCGCGATTGAAAGTTTGGAATTTTTGCTTGGGAGGAGTTTTGCTATTTGTGGGACTGCAGACGTGTTTTATGCAATTTGTGCAAGACGTGTTTGTGCAAGACGTGTTTTATGCTCTATAACAAAAAAAATCGACGCAACAAGAAGCAATCATCCGATTGATTTGAAATTTCGTATGCATGAATGTTTTGAGCAGATATACAAATGGTCAGGCTGGAATGATGCCGACTGGGGACATACGGTCTTTAGCGACGAATCCCGCTTCCAACTGTGTCCTGACGATCATCGAAGACGTGTTTGGAGACGCACAGGGCAGAGGGGGGATCCTGCCTTCACTATTGCACGCCACACCGGCCCTCAACAGGGCATTATGGTCTGGGGTGCCATTTCCTTTGACAGCCGGACCCCTTTGGTCGTCATTAGAGGCACACTTACTGCACAGTGGTACGTCGACGACATCCTAAGATCTGTTTTGCTACCGTTCCTTTTGCAGCGCCCTGGGCTGGGTATTCAGCAGGACAATGCCAGACCACATACGGCACGCGTTGCTATGAACTGTCTGCAAGCTTGTCAAACTGTTCCTTGGCCTGTAAGATCACCAGATCTCTCTCCCATCGAGCATATCTGGGATATGATGGGAAGGCGATTGCATCTGGCACGAAATGTTGATGACCTCGTTCGACAATTGGGTCGAATTTGGCAGGAAATACCGCGAGAGCTTTATCAGTCTATGCCACGCCGTGTGGCAGTTTGTATCCAGGCTAGAGGCGGGTCAACACCTTATTGAACTTGTTACTGTAACTCGGCAATAAATTATTCAATTGTTCTGAAATTTTAATCATTTACTATTCTGTACATTGTCTTCCTATCCACCAATTTTCGTTTCAATCGGACAACTCCTTCTTGGTGCGTCGATTTTTTTG